TCTCCAGCAAGAATGACAATGTCAGACTTATTAGCGGAAAGCATAGGCTCATGTAGCTGTTGGTAAAAGCAATCCTTAACTGCATCCGGGCTGTAGTTTGCTGGAGCGTAATCGGAGATGACAAACAAGGCACGCGTAACATCTCGATGCGTACTTAATTTACATGAACCTCGTAATCTTACTGCACAGAGCCGAATGTTGACTGGGATCCAGTCAAGCCAAAAGACCTCAGCCCTGTCACTCAGTACAACCCCAACACCAACTTGGCCAGAAGCAGCGGTCTTTGGGTCTCCGGAAAAGAGCAAGTGGTATTTGACGTCAGAGTTTGTCGGAGATGTCATTCGAATGACGTATTGGCGTCCTAAATCTGGTTTCAGAAAGGCAACAAATGTCCACTGAGAGCGTCTCAAACGTGAGGGCTAGACATGCTTGTCATCCGATCTGCATTAGAGTACGCACAATGAAGGCTGCAAGACCGAATGGAGAACCAGGACGAATGAAAGCTTGGGCTACAGTTAAGTGTGAGGATGTTGTGACCACCGGGTAATGAACACCAAACGTTTGACTCAGAACTCTGTCCGATGCTACCAATGAGCTACTGTTGACGGTGACCGGGGAAGGCATAGGTGTAGTTGAGGAACGGGACGTGGGACTATCTGTGAGTGGAGGTTGAGCAGCAGAGACAATAAAGCCCGTAGACATATCGAGGGGGAATGTAGTAGTGTAATTCGTCAATGGTTCGTTAATAGGCGTGATACAGCCCGTTTGCCCAGGCCGAAGTGCCCCTTTATGTGCACTTACCGTTGTGCATGAGCGAGATGTCTCGTCTAACTTCACTTGTAAATACGTGTCACTGAGCTCGATATGTCTGACCTTTCGTCCGTCTGCTAGCTTAGCATATAGATCCTCTATCCGAGGTAAGGGATACCTATCCAGAATGAAGCAACGAATAACGCTTGCTTGATAGGCAGCACAAATAAGTACAGAACCATGGAATTTCAGGACTGGAACTATCGGAGCTCCCAACGTACTGTATTGGACTGGCTCGCGTGTTCTTGCTGATTGCAATCTCTTTATCTCCTCTTCCATCTTTGATATCAGGGCATAAGGCAGAGTACGTACTTTGAAGAAGCGGGGCTGTGTTCTCGAACGTAAGTTGGTATTAGCTTAACATCCGTGCATTTTTCAAGTTTATTGTCAAAATCGTCGGAATATTTGTTGCGAATATCCTCCAAGCGCCGGTTAATGGACATGAACTTCATTGTCTCTAGCGTAACCAGGATGCATTTAATCCAGTCGCGCCTGAGTAAGTATGGAAAAATCATTTGCCACAAGGCATGCCTGTAAGGTCCCTTGCTAGCCAGGATAATTAACGTAAACAGTGCAATTTCTCAAGACCGGTATCGGTTGCCCGGTGTAGGTTCGCAAAGTCACTTAACAGTGGCATAACCTAGGTAAAGCTTTAACTGAGGCAGCACTGCGTATCGCAACTAAGGTACCGGTATCATCTTCCATTTCAACCAATTGGCCTTCTATTTCCAATTGCATAGTGTAGGGTAGATGAACACTACAGATCCTCGACGTTACGTTCCAAATCATGCTTAGCTGGTCATCTTCATCTGAATACTGGAGGATCTTCACGGACTTCTTGGGAAATCAGGTTGTCGCAGTAGTGCCAGCTTTAGGTAGGCAAACTCGGGTCAAGTGCCGTAATTTTCCACATTGACGGCACTCTGTTTATGACGAAATTCCTCGGCCGCTAAATGCTCATGTCCACATCGGGAACAGGTAAAAATCAATTCGGACTGCCTCTGGGGTGAGAGTTTCGCGGTTCATTGCTTGAATTGTGTCTGTATGAGGTTGCTGGAAAGAGCTACTAAATGTTTATGGACATGCTTTAGCTGTCGAACAATACTTCAGGCCTTCTCCCAGCACATCATCATCTCATCTTTCAACAACAGCCTTTCCAGAGCCGGATCGTCACGGATACCGAACATCAGACACTGTAAAGCCAGTGCTTCTTCGAATTTCGTGGCCGGGAGTTCACTATACAGATACTGTGGTAGGGCGTGCTGATTCCTCGCAATGTAACAATGGCATTTATTTAGCGTTTTGACGCAAGATCGAGAAAGAATACAACATGCAGTGTGTGCGTTCAGTCACGAACCCCATAACCCGCTGAGGACTTCTAGCGCACTGTTTACTGTCGCCTTCTCACCCACCTAGTGCCTCAAAAGGTCTTTGGCCTTCAACCCTCAGAAATTGTCGCAGTAATTTAATTTTGTGTCTCTCTGAGAGTACTGTATTTGGTTGCAAATCCGGTAGCAGCCCCAAATAATTTACAAAGGCCTCTTCTAAGTGTCGCCTCGGACGGCATATAACGGTGGGCGGCATTTTTAATACCGTTACCTTTTTGATACGAGTATAATGGGCAAAATTTCCAGATAAGCTGTGGGTTGAATATTTTGCTGTTACTCTAGTCGACCAGCAGCACCTTCGTGCCATGTGTCACACCTGTGTAAATCTCCTTCCCAGTGGTCACCTTAGGTGTCCCTTTCTGGTCAATTTCACCAGATTAACCAGTGTCTCAAATGATTAGCCAATTCATCGAAAACCTATATGCAGATTACCCTGAGCCGATCGTGTAGCCTTCACGCACTTATTCTGCCTTCATTCAAGACACATGCTAACATGCAGCTGGCGCTGCAATTTAGTGTGACCATTTCACCGCAGCTCCACTGCTATTTGGCTCCGTCGTCCACGCAAGGTTACAACTCCAGTGGCATCCTCGGTGACCTCATCTGTTCCAGTGTTCTATCCCAACCATTCCTAACGGGGCCACAGAAAATTCCTGAGGGGCCATGGGATGAGAACAATTTTTAGGGGGGCCAAAGGGGACCATGCGGTGAAAAGTCGGTCGTGATAACAAAAATAACAAAATTCATTTAAAATTTTTCTGAAAGTTGCTCTCCGGGCTACCGATCAGGTGTTCAGAGACGCATCTATGAAATAAACCCTAAAGCTACTTTTGTGCCGTGCACAAACCATTCCCTTAAGCTGTAGGTGTATATGCAGCTTCAGCGATAGTTCAGTCGGTTACATTTGTTGCTAAAATGGACCGGCTATTTTCGTTCTGTTGTGCATCTACATACAGCTAGAAACATCTTGATTCAAGTGACCGATCTAAGTATCATGCGGTCTGTAGAAATTAGACGGAGTAGTCGAACAGACGCCGCAAACGTTGTGATGAACAAGTACACGGAAATCGTCAATGCTCTGGAATAGCTCAGCAAAGAAAGAAAAAATTTGGTCGCAAGATCAGATGCCTCTTTAATTCTCATCTCGGTATACTCGTTTCCGTTTACTTCGTTTTTGAGCCTTTGGATTTCTGTTCTCCCGGCGATCAATGATACACAGCAGTATCTTCAAACAAAATAGCTGGATCTGCAGCAAAGTTCTGTTAAGCTCACAGCGTTAAGAAATTGCCTTCTTCACAACAGAGGAAAGATGGTGGACAGTGCAATGAATACATTTAGAACACTGTGCTTTGAACTGGGGATAAGCATGGAGCGTCAAATTTGTAAGAAAATCGAATGATGCAGAGGAATCGTTTGACTAATCGATTGACTTTGATGTTGATTTCAGACGGGAACTGCTATCTGTCATTGACAGATTGACTGAGGAAAAATGTCGTAGATTTCAGCAAGTTCGTGAACTGGCTAACAAATATGCTTTCTTAACACTGTCGAATCTGCTTGATGAGAAATATTACTGTTCACTTGACGAAGTTGATGGGGATATAGAAAAAGAAGAGTTTCGCGCCGAAAGGAGAAGATTGCAGTATTTCGTGAAAACTTCAGGAAACGACAGCATTAATGGACCGTTTGAACTTTTGAGCTTCATACATAGATATTACCTTGGGGAATCAGTACCGAATATTGGGATCTTGCTGCGCAGCTTTCTTACTCGGGCTATTAGCATTGCCAGCTGTGTGCGTTCTTTCTCCAAATTCGTTATGAAGAACTACCTTCGATCAGCAATGAGCCAGACAAGACTGACGGATTTGACAATCACCCTCCATAGAGATGGAACTGGTCAGGAGACAAAATTTTGATGTTGTTATCGACAGTTCCGCTGCATGTAAAGCGCGAAAAGTGTATTTGTAAAGTTCGTATCTGCACCATAAAATTACTTCTTTGGTTGTTGTTATCTGACCCGACATATCTGAGGGATGTTTTCGCAATTTTGTGGGTTTACGGATTTACAACCGCCCCGGGCAGCAAAACTAGTTGCTACGCCACTGAGTCTGCAGGGATATTGCCGGTTTCATTCTTGGTTTCTTATCCATAATTGGATACTACATTTATTCAAGCTACACGTAATTGGTGGTCAGTACTTTGGAATAAATACATAAATAAATAAAATAAAATGTACATTCCTCGACGATGCGAGAAACTGTTCTCTAGAAGGAACAGATCAAATAATGGTACAACCTTTCCATGACATTGCACTAATACTTTTTCAGAAATAAACATGGGCGTACTTGCAAATTAGGTAACACACAGTAATCTGAATCGTACTGCTATATTTTCCTGCCATCGAACCAGGATTCTTCACAATCACATGACAGATTATTTGTAAGTAGTAGGGGGATTTATTGATTTTTGTAGATTCCTCGCAGTTAGACACAGGCAGACAGCCACCACACATCCAGGAAAGCGCCAGAGGGTCGTTTCGTCCTACTGAGACTTGTCAGTAGCGCGCACCCGCCGAATCCTGCCGGATTCGAACCCACCACCTTACTCTTGCGAGCCAGCGACTTATGTCCCTAAGCTACAAGTAATCGATGGTCTGTACTTTGGGATAGAGGAATAGCGCTAATGATTCGGAGTTCACTTTATAAGCCCTTGAATTAAGTGTTCCGTTCATGTTAAAATACTTATAGCCACCCACATTTCATAATGTAGCTGACAAATCAAATTTACACACTTGTCATTTAGCAACCGGAACGCTTCTGCCCCAACCCATGCCGAGCACCAGATCCTTGTGGCAATGTTTCCCACACCACTGGAGTCTGTATTCCCCAACGGGTTAAGCGAACACCCGATTCCATCCCACCAAAATTACGGGGCAAATTGCATGATGTGTATAACCAAGACTTTGTCTGTGGTTGTTTGAAGGGTTACGAGTTCAACCGAACTGCGAAGCAATGTGTTCCACTTAGACTCGGATGCAGTAAAACAGAGTGAGTTCAAAGTATTGACTGGATTTTGAGAGTTTAAACTTGCCTTTCAACCATCTGACCCTTTTGCGTCGTATAGATCTGCTTTTCGTTAGCTTACCTCGGTTTCCCCCTACTCAGTTGAGCACTGCCCATGGAGATCGCCCAGTTTATCGGGTAAACCAGATGCAGTTGTTAGTTTTTGCAGTACCCAATCTATGTTTGCGTTTTGACACGCAATCGTAGTTGAGAACATGGTTTGCCCTAAAGTAGACCGCCTTCATTCCGCTCAATGGAACCGCATCTGAAGTGAAGCGCTGTTGGAGGATCGGATAAAATGTGCGTGCTTGCTAGTCGAGCCAAACACTCACAGTTAGCGCAGTGGTACGGAATTCAGTGTGAGATACAATGCAGAGTTATTTAAGTTCGCTACTCAAGTTCAGCTCAAGATGTGAAAATATGTGACTTCCACGGATAGGATAGATGTCATTTCTTTGAGTACCTATAGACACTATATCTCTGTTAAGTCAGATATGCATTTAATCCGGCTTGTTTCGTTGTTTTCACTATTGGACTAAGTGGAAGCGTTTCGCGGACAATGCAACAACCATCTTTCGAAGTCGAGGCACACGGTGTAAACCCCAGCAATCAGCTTCGAACTGCTATAGAAATCGTTGCTCGTGCAGCTGAATGGTTTAGTGCTCATGTGGTCAGACACTGACCGCTAAGTCCAGGCTTCCAATCACGGCTGCTGCTGTCACCACCTGAACGGCCCAAACAAGAATGAAAGTGGTCATCGAGTGAGGTGCTGGGGGCGAACAATAGCGAAACTCACTACCAAATCGGATACAACTTGCATTGGATCGTCATTCCGAAACGTGCTTTTTTCTATAGACCACCTGGTATACATTAACCTACAGCTGGGAGTACTCCGTAAATCAATGCGTTCGTCGAAACTAGACAATATTACGCGACGCAAACATAAGATGAACAAAAATGTGTCCGTGTAACGGAATTTGCATGGAATAGGTCACATTAGATCATTGCAACGGTTTGCCTGCTGGTCCGCGAATGCAAAAGCTCAATATAGACTTGTCTTGCGCAAACTGACTCACCTAATTAAGTCTCACTTGAGGTAGTCATGTGCGGCCTAAACGTTGATCTGAACAATGCAAATTGCAAGACAGTATAGTTACCATACTGCAAAAAATAACATCACAATGAACAACAATGGGTTGCTAAGGATCTTCTCCTTGTGTGTTTACGTAATTGCACAAGTATAAACGAAAGCAAAGTACATGAAGTTCCTTCGGGTATCTGATGCACATTACTTACAACCAGAAACGCCTGCGGATCTAGGCTGACTCAACCGCTGGAACTAATGGCAGCGGTCCATTTGGTGGCAAGGACGGCAACCAACTGGTCCTGTATCACTCTCTTTAACTAAATGATTACCACAGCGGCATGCATTTTGTATTCCATCCATAACCAGCTTAAATGCCGGTACATCATCAAAAAGTGTTCCAGCAACTTCCCCCTCTGAGTGCATTGGATACCAGTGATACAGTTATCAACCCAGACTTTTATTCGGACTTTTAAGGCTTTCGCTTAAGTACATGAGATATAACACTGTCTGGATGTTATACCGGGCTTGCGAAGCTCGGGGATTCAGGAGAATTCGGCTCGGATTAAGGCAGGGAAATAAACCTGTTCCCAAGCTTTTCGGCTGTTGGGAAGTTTGGCTTAGTAGTCAGGTAATTTGGTAGAAACATGTGGCATTGGAGTTGGGTACACACACTGTTGTCTAGTCAGCGACAACGATATCGGCTGGCTTGATGAACTAGCTCCTCTTGCTGCCATCTGGATGGTTCAGGATTATTCAGTTCCAGCGAATTGTTCGGCGATACTGTTAGAGGACGCGTTGGCTTGCTGCTTCGCAAGCGTTTTTCCTATAATTAACACGAATGTCTGTTCAACAGCGACGAAACTCGGTAGATGTGACTCGCCAGCAAATAAGGTCATTGTTCTTACTTCATCAAATTGTAGCATTGTACCCCATCAGCTAGATGCTGTAAATGTGTGAAAGAGTGGGTTCCTGTTTGGTTACCGACTAAACAAAAGGCCAAAGCTTGACGAGGCTTCACGCACACTTTGTCTCAGATCCTCCTTTAAAGTGTCCTGGATGTCGCTGACAGCGTTCACTGGTTTGCGTCATTGATCTGTGAAGTTTGACATTTCGGGGTTCCCTATTTTGAGTCGACAGAGTCAGAAAGACCCCATGTGGTAACTTGGACCATCCGTGCCTGGTACGTTACGCCGGTTCCAACTCAACCGCCCTGAGCCCTTGTGGGAACTTTTGCAACAAGCATCCGCGAATAGCATGCTGATCATTTATCAATACCGCAGCGAGTGCTAATATATGGGATAATTGGACAATATATGATTATTACTTCAGAAGGTTCCCTTAAGGGCCCAACGAGAAACTTACAGAAAGTTCTGGGACGGCGTCGAAAAGAGCAATTGATTATGGAACAACTAAATAAATGCAAGCGTTTAACGCCGGACAAATTGTGCTGGCAAAAGGAATAAGGCATGTTATAAAAAGCAAGCAAAAAGTGTCCAGTTTCTTTTGTGTGACTGATATGCATAAGTTTAGATGACTCAATATCTGTTCGTAAGAATGTCGCAGCTGTAACTAATCACCATATCCATTTATCAAGCAACAACTGAAACGCAATGAATTGACCATCTAGCAAGCAAATAATCTTGAAGAATTTAACACTTTTATTTCCAGCCTTGGGCAAAACCTGCATTGGCTGAGTTAGCAAATTTACCACCTATGCTAGTCTGGAAGGCTGATCAATTCTTGTTCTCAATAATTATTTCAACGTTTCAAATACGCCATGTAGGAGGTATTAAAGTGGTCATTTTTATTTGATCCTCTGCATAATCTTGACGGTCGCATTAGCTTTTGCCTGTATGTTTGTGTACGAAGCAATCCGAACTTGGCTACATTGCACAATAGTAAGACGCCTTCCACCGGAACCGATGGTGCACTACCAATCTACTCAGCACGGGACAGTTGAACGGAAACAGTGAATGTTGTAGTAGGAGCTGATGTTATCTACCTCGAATTTTCTACGGCCATCGATCTGTTGAACCATTGCATTCTTCTAGCAAAGCTTCAGGGATACAACATGGGTGATTCCCTCCCAGGGTGGATCAGTAACTTTCTCCTGTGCAGGTGCCTGGAAGTGAAAGTATGCGCATCAGTGGCGAATCATATACACGTGGAATGTAGTGTGCCACTAGGTGCGGTATTGGGACCTCGTCTGTTCTTGATTTTCATTAGTGACCTAGTGAGCTTAATCATTTCACAATATTTATTTTACGCCTACGGCACCTAAGTTTGGCGGAAGATCAAAGCTCTAAACGACCTCATGCAACTTCAACACGACCTCCACAAGATTTACGAGTGGCTAGTCTACTATCTTCTTCAGGCCAACGTGACTAAATGCAAGTACTCTATCAACAACAACAAAAGGTTTACACCTATAAGCTGGGCGACCGGGATCTGCAGCGCTGTTCTCGTGAAAAATTCTCGGTGTACTGATCCAGCAAAACCTTGGTTGCTCGGGGCTATCTGAACTAGCATCACAAAGTGGCATGCAAACTTGAGGCTCTTACGGAGAGTTCTTGGTTTCCTTGACCCATCTATTTTATCCCAACTGCTTTGTGCACACGTACGTCTGCACATGGAATAGGCAATCCAAATATGACAGGCGTGTCTAAAGCGGGAGCTCACGGTCTTAAGAGTTTCACAACGTCGGTCCACCATAAACCTCAAAGGGTTATACCACTTATCTTACGAATTGGGCCTGAATATTTTGGGAGTCTTCAGTGGACTATATCGGCATTTGTGCGGAGACCTTATCAGGATGTGCCAGATTCTAAGCAACCCAAATCACTCTTGCTATCCCTGTTATTGCTCAAGCAGAACAACAGACTGAGAGGTCACAGTCTCAAATTGGCAGAACAATACAGCCGAATAGAGTGTACACAGAATTTTCCGTCGCTACCTGTTTGCCACGTATAGAATTACCTTAGAGAACGTTTTATTTCGGCGCTTACATTAGCTGTGCTCAAAGCCAGTATCGACAATGCGCTGGTCGCGTTGCACGATATCACATAACACATCAGAGCCAGACACACATAGAGAAAACAAAATCACATCACGTTACACCTGTTTTTCTGGGAAAACCAACGGTGATGATAATTTGAATTTCCTTAAACCATATGTGAAAGATTTAGATGGACAAACTTTTGCTCGGCAACTTCACTGTTTTCGGTTTCCTTGCTTATAATCGTTATTCATTTTCTCCTGAGAACCCTCACCTTCCTGCGGAACATGTTAAGCTTTGAATTTTTATCCGCAACATACTACTAACTCCTTGTGTTTAGCCAAGGGCAATAAGTGATGTGGTGTGGTGCAGCGAAATGAGTGTCAAGTCAAGTTGGGCTTTAAACTCTGCCAGCGTGAGAGCACATATGACAGATTCCGGTAGGTCATTCCACGTTCTGCAAACGCGTAGGGAAAGTAAATTCCGACTGCACTCCCAACGACTGTACCGCTCTGCCAGCTTGACACGTTTCCCTCTCAAATTACTGCTGAGACTGAGCTCTGGCACATGGCGGCACTTGTGAAGGGATCTCTCAAAATCTGGTAAGTCAAAATGAGGTTTCCGCGCAATCGCCGATAACGTCCGCTGAAGACCCCGAGCACTTATAGCCTTCGTTCATACAGCAAATTATACAGACACTTGACCTTTTTGGTTTCCCGGTGTTGGGCTAACTCCAAGGTGTTGCGATCTCTTCTTAGCCACTACTGCCAGATCTTTATTGCGTATTCCACCTGTGGCCCCATGTATGAGCCTCGAAGTTGTGGAAAAATCAGAGTCGAATCGATAGAAGGCACGCTGCAGGTGACCCACATGTTGAGGCCTTTCCAGCTTGCTTCAAACATC